CTCACTGCCACATCTACTCTCTACAAATTACGGGTCGGCAGCCTCTCTTCTAACTATTGAAACTATCCCTCTACCACATTTTTGGTGACCTAACCAGGGGGACACGCATAGTTGGTATCAAGCAAGCCAAGCAAGCAGTAGGCCTATTGCTTGACTTGCCTGCTTATTTGGAGTTGTCTGCTTGACTTGCTTGCACTTGATTAGCTGAAATTGGGGCTGCTGCTTGCTTGCTTGAAGGTGCTTGATTGATATAACATGGTTGGCAAGCGAGCGGCCCACCCCACCAACTTTTGCAACTTTAAAGCGATACATCGTAACAACGCGATAATATTATTGCTAGATATTAATACATATTGGAACAAGGTCCCTCTAGTAGCATGACTACTATGGATAACCGAGTGGGAGGAGGGACAAGGCGGGGTGGCTGCAACGTATTGTATTGACTATCGTGTTGTATCTTCGCCACTCAGGCTGTTGTGGTGGATGCCATTGCCCACCGGGCAGTGCCTGCCACACCAGCACATCATGTGACCCCCAAGCACCTTCTACCTGGACTGAACCCAGATATTGTTGGAGTGGGTGAACCGTACGCATAGGGAAGAAGTTGAGGATTGACTGAGGTTGTATTGTACAAGCTATGGAAAGTTTATGTAGGTGAGTGACCATAAACAGCGCTAGTCTCAGATAGGCATCGTCCCATCACCAAACCGTGACAGATATTCTCAACATTATATACATTATTACTAATCTATCCATGCAGTATCAAATTCAATAGTACATCGCAAGCAGGATTTGACTAGTCATGAGAAGCTATTCAAATGAATCCTTGTTTCACCCGCATTCGTTTTGAGCTGTACTTATGCTCATAGGGTTCAGAAACACTTGGACGTTTCAAAGGGATCGCAGGCAGTGGCTTTTCGCACGTCATGTGGTCTATAGTGCCGAAGGGTCGCTCAAGATTCTGATCATTGATTAATTTCGCCAAGGTAGTTGGGAAACCACTTATTAGCCTTGGAGTACTCGTAATGCCTCGAATGGAGAACGCGATAACGTCTTCCATTGTCTCGGCACGGAATGTGATTCGTCTTTTGAATGGAGGGAGTCCTTTGGGAATAGTCTGAATACATCGAATGGGGTTTCCCTGGACGAGAAACCATGAAGATGTTTTGAGCAGTTGCTCATACAAATAGCGTAGACCTTCTCGGGGCAGGTCAAGGCGACAATATATGTACCCTAAGCACAGGTAACTACCTCCCTCTAGTTTAGGTAGTGCATCTAGTTCAAAGTAGAACATTGAAGCTAGCATCAAGTCAAGTACTGCTGTTATAGTAACTCCATCGTCTTGGATCTTCCGTGTGGTAATAGCCTTGAGATTCGGTATCTGAAGTGCATCATCTAAGCTGGGCTCTGGGCCAGTGAACTGTACATTAAGTCGCTGGTATCTATGCCGTATGTTGAGATCCAAGGAATTGTAAAAGCGTTTCCATGCGTCTTCGCCGTTTAAGTTGCGCATGAAACTTTTAAACAAGCGTACGTAAAATCGTGAATTCGTAATTCCTAGATCTACGGCGTCCGCCGAAGTTCCGGTTCCGAGTGATAGAGCAAAATCGGGGTATGGTTTCGCTGGCCACATGAAACGAGCTTCCCATTGGGCGATACTCGCTGGGTTGTTATGTTGCAGTCCTCCATCTTGAAAGATGCCTAAGCTGCGCACCGCCTGAGGTTTGAAGAACCAAGGCGCGGCTGAAGTACAGCATGCTCTGAAATTATTAGACAATGGAAACGCTGCGAGTAAAGCTAACTTACGCATCACTAACAGTGATATCATCCTGCGCTTTCTCAGCGCGAACAACATCATATCCTGATAGTCGTAAGCTATAGCTATCACGGTGAAGATCTCATCTCTACTGACCGATATCATCGGGGCGTTTCCCCCCGTTGTAGTTAGTGAACAACCATGGTAGCGAGTCGTTGACAGCTGTTGTAGTGACAGCCACTTTGGTGTCATTCCTTAACGGGTTGAACATCTGCAGTGGGGAGTCGAATGTTTTCCTGAAAGCTTCCTGTACTGCTGCGAGACTATACTGACCATCTTCGACATATGCCACGACAAGTTGAATTGCTCTCGAAATCAGTGCTTTTCTCTTGCCAAAGGTTTTGGCTGCTACTTGCTCAAATCTTTGTATAGACTCAGCAGCGCTCCATTGCAGCAGGAACATGCCAATGACAACAAGACCGCCTATCGTTATTAGTTTAAGACTGAGAAATTTTCAAATATTCTTACCAGCCGATGTTCCACATACAAAGTCGAAATTATCCTTCGCAGCGCATCCAAATGGGGCAAGTAAGCTGTCGAGATGTTGAAGGAAGGTCAGAGGTATCACTCCTCTGACACCACCCCCGTCGACACTCAGAACCCGTACACCCGCTGTCGGGGGGACGAACCGGAATATTGAGTTCTTGTAATTGACGCCACATAAGACGCATTCTGGAAGTTCATATGTGTTTCTCTCAGAGCGGGAGCGACGTCCGAATATCCGAATACATGGGTCACACAAAGCGTGACTACACGGAAGAACCTTTTCTGGCATACGCGAGAAGCAACAGAAACACGATCGATGGCTTTTGAGGTCCGCTAAGTGGGTGTGATTCGCGTTCAATACCTCCCGGTGCACATCGCTAGCAGGTTGTGCGCCATCCTCATACTTTGCAAAGATGACTCGAAACTCATGTAGTACAGCAGAGACGAACTTGCGCTGTATCTCCCTGTGCATTGTATACGAAGCAATAGCAGCTTTGCATGGAGCAGAATAAAGCGAACTAAATAGATAATCTGGTGAGAAATCTAAATCTGTGAGCTGACACATCATTGAAACTGACATGTAACATACTATGTGCGTTTGGTGGATAGCTAGACAGAAGTAAGGCTGAAGCTATCAGAGGTGCAGCAAAATGCCAAAGCCAGGCTTGTGAAGGCATTTGGTTTAAGAAGTCCGTAAGGCAAGCTTCAAGGATATTGGTCGTGAAACCTCGCGGCCGAGAAGCACTAGCGAAATGGAAATCTGTCGTGCTATCGCTGCTCATGTGGCTAAGCGCTTGCTTTGTTAAAGCTTGAAAGTGAGTATAACTAAACTGCGTAAATTTGCTTGCGCGCTCATCCATTGATGCGTCAGACATGGCTAAAAGGCGTCTCTTGAAAGCCCGCGCTCGGGCTGTGGTGGATTTGCATGATTGCAGGCCCAGGACTTCAATATCGCCTATTCCTAGGCGTTTAGGGTGTTTATCCTGCGACTCGCTATTATTTTGCATAGCTTCGACAAGTAGCATGGTGGCTTTGTTGGCCGCGACTCTCTCGTCAAATGTGTCCGATGTGGTTTCCACGACTAACAGAATGCGGGGCACTGTCGGTAAATCAGGCGCAGCCGCCGCCGTCGCAAAATCAGCTAGCCACTTTGCAGCAGCCCTCGGCCCCCCAAGATCGCTAACAAAGCAGCAGATGACACTTGAGAAGGGCGAAAAGATTCGCCCACATAGCGTCGCATTGATGTTCTGGACTTTTGGCAAAGGCCATGAAGTTGCGGGTATTGAGTAGGTGAGAGCAGGATTTTGAGGTTGCAGGTGAGAGTTTTGCATACCACAATCGATGACGATAAGCGGCGCGCACCCGTTGTATCTAGACAGCGACCACAAAAACACCTCCTTGTGTACAGGTACTGCGATATCGTCTCCTAAAAGTCCATTCAAGAGGATGGTCTTGGATCTTCGCCCTACGAAGGTTACAAAAGATGGCCGGCAGCTATTCCTAACAACGCTAGAGCCTGTACCAGAGAGTGAGGTCAACCCAAGCTCATGGTACGTCAGCGTGTTCCCACTAGGAGATGCGTCGAAAGTAATCCACGGTGAAGGTTTCATTTTTGGCGATGGTACATTTGCGCTGGGCAGTCAAAGGATTTTATGCTGTTGGGCATACGGCATTCAGTTTGCCGTTACCAGAATATGCGCAACATCCGGGTCATGAATCATGTAAACCGACCCAGTTGACGGTTACAGTCATCATGTCAGCCCCAATGCAGCTTTCTGGCTTCCCATAGCTCGGTATAGAGTCTATTTAATCCCAAGTTCGTCGGAGCGGGATGTTGACCAGATACCGCTATGGAGCTACCCGATATAGACTTTGCTGCGACAAGGTCGACGTGTTTCAGAGGAGTTGCACGAGTACCACTGCATGCCTTGAACTTTCAAAACAGGCTCGTCTTGGACAAACATCGGGAACTTTCTGAAGAAAATGTTAGACGGCTACAAAATATCTATGAGCAAGTTGGCTGCAACCGGCTAGAAGAAGAAAATGTTATCAACGCAGTCATTGCAGATGAAGATCTAGTTGCAGAGTTGTCCTCACAAGGCAAGTCAATAGAAGATTTTTGCAATCTTCAGTGGCCACAGGATGCGCTAGATCTACCTCTCGAGTATGTAGACTGTCTTTCGGGAATGCACCGTATCGAGGCGGCGCGACGATTCTTAGATGAGAACGACAAATGGTGGGTCGTGAGACTCTTCTCTCATAGTGAGTTGGTTACCCGTGTTGATATTGTACCTAACATTAGACAAGACACGCCCAAACCAGTATTAGCACAAATCATTGAGTCGTTTGCCAACGAACAGAAGCCTTCAGACGGAGAAGTTTTCCGAAAGATAAGACTATATCATAGAGAAAATGACGAAGAAGCCCAAAAACGTTGGTGGTCTCGTCTAGAGAAATCCAAACCAAAAGATTTACGGCAGCTCCTGAGGAGACCAACGCTCATTGCTGGGTTTGACGCTCTGATTGACATGCCAGGGCTATGGGCCAAGGTGCAACTTGGGGCGCTTCACAGACTCTTGGTACTAAAGTGTGACGAAGTATAACATGAAATCCCTTATCCGACATTAGATCCTAACTGAGAATAGGAGATGGCGCTTTATCTTGACTATATAGCCAAAGCCTGGTCTAAGATTTTGCGTTGCGGTGAAAGGACGTTACCGTTCTCTATTGTAGACGCGGTCACTGTGCAAAATCTCCAACTTCTCGCCCCTGCACACTCGGACATGGACAAAAACTTGGTAATTGAGTTGATGGAACGTAGGGATATATTCTCTTCCCTGAAGAGCGGTACCATACGGAGGACGCTTACCGACAACTTGTGCGCTTTCCCGGGCGTCATCCCATCGTTATGGGGGTTTTTTGAGATGCTCAAATACCTAGAGCCTCTTGCGGAAGCGCTTAGACATCTATTGGGCAAGGACATGAAACGTACAATACGGTCAAGCCTTATGGGGCTGTATTTCGCCCCTAGTAAGATCATGGTTCAGACTACTGAGACTCAGGACGTGGAGATAAAAGTCGCACTCAGTCGGAAGCAAGCAGGAATGATTGCGTATACCGAGCTTTGGGCATTCTGCGGTCGCTACTTTGATGGTTTAACTGCATTCACACCGAGGAAAGAGACTGGAGAGCCAAAACCTACTGTGAATGGCCCTAATCCGGTAGTCTGGCAGCATCTCGCTAGGTTTGCGGTCTCTCGAGGGTTCCAGATACCACATGCCCAAGCTCTGGTGGCGGATGAAGGACGTTTACGTTCACAACTCGCACTAGAGTATCTTCATAAAGCAAGGCCAACGTGTCCCACGTTTTCTGACAACGACGTCCGAAAGGTACTTGATGCTGTCCCAGTAGACATGGATATTTCGCAACACCAATCCCCTTTACCGTTACCGCACCTTAGTATTGACAGGCGAATTGGTCGTCCATTTGCAGGTGACTTCGCCGAAGAGAAGAGATTGCTCTTCTTTCCGCACTTGTATGGGCCTGTGGTATTTGAGAATGCAAGTATCAGCCTAATGCGAAGGGATCTATTCTCGTGCATATTTGGTTCATTTACATTCGAAGTATGTGTGGCTCTAAAGTAGCAGTTTAATACTAACGCGAGCCAGACCAGTGATTTTGAATTGGTCACGAATTCCGGTAAACCAGCGCAGGATAGAATGGATATAGATACCCCCTCTGAAGTACTTGGATCAGACACGCGGCTTACCGATTTGGAGTCACGTTGCTCAAGGCTCCAACAAGAGTATCAGAGTCTTTTGTCACAGCATGACACTCTAGTAAGGAAATACGAAATCGAGCACAGCAAGACCGAGGGGTTAGAGATTGAGAACTTGGAGCTCCAAGCCAAATGCAGGGATCTTACCCAGAAATATTCAGCACAGTGTGAAGCAAACGAACTCGAAACGAACACGGCTAGCGACGAAATTCGGAAAGATCTTGACAATCTACAAAATAGACACCATCACCTCGAGGATGCCTACAACCGTGTTGTACTAGAACATAAAGACTGCGACGCGACTAAGAAACAGCTCTCTTCTTTAGCGCGACAATGGAAGGCGCAGGGGGATAAGAACCTTGAGCTTAACTCTACTTGTGCAAGACTGAAAAGAGAGCTGGAAGAAGCGCTGGCAAACCGAAAGTTCGAAGCAGCAACAGTCGACAGAGGCAAATTATTAATAGTAGTGCCCGAACCTATTGAAGCAACGACCATGTCAGCACTAGAGGACAGTGATACTACACCAACGATTGATCAACCACTATACTCTTGGGTACCAAGGACCGATCAAAGCTCCTACGAGATGTTCTTTGCCTATTGCACTGCCAACGGTGGTAGTGCACTTCAAGGCTGGGGATCTCTGATCAGTATGCAAGCGGAGTCGGCGTTACCTAGAATCGAACAACTTCTACACCAGGCTGAAATGGAATTCGGCAGTGATCAGTATGGAGCAATGACAATCTTAGGCAAGATTATCATACTAACATCAGCCGAATATGTATTCCAATGCTTCGGGCCAACACACCAAACCATCTTCATTGGACCAAACTCCGTATTATCAGCCTACGTCCCTGTCATTGAAAGACGAGCTTCTTCATCTCAAACAGGCTCATCAGTCATGACAATCATAGATGCTGCTGCACAAGCAACCAGCAAAGCGCTTGTGAAACGGCAGCGACAGGAAGACGATTCCGAAGACGACGAGATTACAAATGACCGGGGATTTGGGAAAGAGTTGACCAGGTATACCACAAAAAAGAGCGTCCCAAAGCGAAGGATATTGAGATTGCAAGGTCCCGACGTACCCGATATGAACACTGAGAGTAGAGGGCATGTAGATAGCGAACATTCTAGCGAGCAGCAAAAGCTAGCGTAAGATTATCTAAGAAGGATTGAATTATTTATGGCAACTACTCTAAATACAGTGCAGCTACCAGTAAACTGGATATATCCATCCTGTTCTAGCTGTGACTCACGCCCCATTGACCATCTTTGACGGGAGGACGACGTTGATTGGCAACGGACTAGAAGTTGAGATTCGATTTGGAGTAGGGCGGGGCGGGGTCGCGGGAAGATACCAAGACTCCCCAACATAGCTCGGCGGGCTTTCCTGGACAGCAGCCGCATTGGGCAGCTCTTGAGTCTGTTCCCTGCTATGTCTATTGCCAGGCATGTACGGCGGAGATGGTGATGGCGAAGACGTGCGAACGATTCTGACGTGACCTCTCGAGATGCCATCACTAACACTCTGATAGTGAGCTGGTCGCTTGATGTGGGGATTATTGCTCTTGACCTAATAAGTTCAATATAACGACTTTACCGTGAACTAGTGCCTACATACATAGTCTTGTACGAAAGGAGGCCAGTTATGTCCTCTCTCCTCCGTGCTAAAAACGAGAGGAGTGACGCCAGGTTTCTCGACAATAATGGAGATGCGGACTCTATCGTCGATTTGATGAAGCTCCGCAGCTTTCCGGAAGATACCAGCGTAGCGGGTGTTGAAGGATCGGGAAAGGTTCTGGGGTGGCGCTCGAGGCATCTTGAACGATGATATGAGAAATCGAGTATGCACGGTGATGGTGTTGGTACGAACGTTTGGTGAGAGGGTTTTCTGGTTGCCGGTTACTGCTGCGCGTGTTCTGATGGCTGATAAGGTGATGCCGTATTATAGCACAATCCAGGAAACGGTTGTTCGCAGCGAGGCGCAGGCTGCACCTCGGCAGCGCGAAACACGCTAACAGCACTCCGGCGGCTAAACGTGTTGGAACCAACCGGAAATCTTGCCTCGCTTGTGCTACTAAATCAGTACTTGCATGGCGGCTAAAAGATAGCCTATGCGCGATTGATGTGGGATGTCGGAAACAGGGACCCGTATCGCATCAGTTATCCGCAGTTGCCGGACTCATGAGACAGGCCCCCAAGATGGTATCCAGAACGCCGCTTCCTGTCACCTGGTACGATAACTGACGCCATATATCTACCGTGGAGTGGCTATCTTCGCGACTTCCGGTCACCCGTGATACCTAGTTAAATAATTATGCAGATTATCGTTGTCTACGCCATTGCGTACAGCTCAGCGATAGGCCTTCTAGTCGGTTGGAGGCTCTCACAATGTCTCACCGCGCAGGCCCGTAAGCATATCTTCACCACTTTCACGAAATGGTTCATATATACCCTTGTAGCACCAAGGTTCAACGGAAGCTCAGATGTTACGATTATGACGGGGACCATCATCGTCCTTCTTATCATTGCTAATATCATTGGATGCTCTCTTTCCGTCCAAAGTCGACTTGAGTTGTCGCTTCGTCTAGCGAGGCTTAGCGTCACTAATCTCGTGATTCTCTATCTCGGTGGCAGGTCCAACATTATCTTGGATAAAGTTTTTCGTCTTTCTCATCCAGAGCATCAGCTATTGCACCGATGGATTGGGCGTGTCACAGTTACGGAAGGCTTAATCCACGGGACTCTTGGAATCCTTCAATTATCATCTACTGTCCAGCCGATTGAACTTTCGGTATGCTCTCACTGTTTTGCATCAACACCACGGATCTAACATAAGATGCAGCTATTGGTCGTTGTAGGGGTTATTGCATTAACTTCAGTTCTTTACGTGCGTCGCAGACTGTATGAGATATTTCTCAAGACACACTCTCTCCTCTCGGTCGCTACGTTAGTCTTACTGTGGCTACACGTTGGAGTCCCGAACACCTACGTACTCACGTGTTTTGCCAGTGCAGGTGCTATCTATCTGCTGCAAAAGCTGCTTTGGCTTATCCAGTTTCTATATCGAAATCTTGGTTCTGGTCCGTCGTCTCGAGTATCCATCTCGCGCTTCTTACACGAGGGGGTAGGACAAGAGGTTTTACAGCTTCAAATCGACACAAAACGGCCATGGAATGCCAAACCTGGCCAGTTCGTCTACCTTTCTTTGCCTCATATTCGAAGCCTTGGGCTTGGACTATTAGAATCTCATCCCTTCATGGTCGCGTGGGCTTCAAATAACCAAAAAGGAAAAACAGCCAGTGTTATTCTCCTTGTACAGTGCTGTACAGGCTTTACCCGTAGGCTGCAGAGTGCTGGCACCCTGACATCTGCATTCATTGATGGGCCTTACGGTGGCGTCAAAGCAGACTCGTACAGAGGATACGATAAAGTCTTGCTTATGTCAAGCGGTATAGGGATTGCGGCACACTTGTATACCGCTCGATATCTACTTATATCACACAATCAACAAACTGCGCGTGTCAGAAGATTGACACTAATCTGGTTATTAGAGACGCAAGGTATTCTCAGATGCCAGCCAGATACTTTAAAAGGTCCCCGCTAAAGTACAACAGACCAGATGCGTTGGGCAGAAGATTTCCTTTGTGCTTTGAACGATATGGATCACAGACAGATTCTTACAATCTTCTGCTTTTATCCTAGTCACACTGAGGGTTCTTCCGAGGGCAGAGTAACCAGTTTCCAATCACCCAGATCTCGGATCCTACCTCTTTCTACCGCACTTGACATGTCCTGGTTTATCGAAAGCGAGTGGGGTGCTGAAGCAGGTAACATGCTTGTTGCAGGTAGGTTACTTCTTCCTTTCTCTTTGCATAACTGACCTTGAAAGTTTGCGGAAGCCCTCAGTTTGAGTCTCGAGCGAGAAAGGCTGTCAGGTCAAGTTCGCATGAAATAGATTTCCAGAATAGCGTTTTCCAGCCTAGCGAAACACAAGCAAGTAAACTGTCAGGATTTAGGTACTACCAAGGTAAAGAAGCTTAATATGTAGTAAGAGTTTACAAGCACATATGTAGAGGTACCTAGGTAGTCTATAAATAAATGATGAATCCATACCCAACTAGTCAGACCATCGAGTGCATAGATACAGTAAGTTAAGAGAGAACTCAACTTTTGAAAGACCCAAGACAGCAGCGACCCTGCCAGCAGCCGTAACCATGGAACTGCACCAGTGTTGTGATTCTGCGAGATTTCTTGAGTCTGGTCCATGCATCAAGCATGGCGCTACGAGCTTATCCCCGATTGGCCAGCTTGGCGACAAGGCTATACCGAAATAATAGACGTAACTTAAGTGATCACTTTCAGACCTAGAGGTAGATCTCACACCGGTGAATTGGAGGTCAATCGCGGTACTCAGAGTGTTCACCGACGACATTCAATAGCGGGATTCACTCACGTACCGGGACCTAGATCCAGAGGATGCTTCGCCTCTCGTTAACTCCACCTCAGCGTGTTTACCGTACGTGACCCCAAATCCTGTCTCCCGACTCCCGTCTAAGCAGGCATCCCGTACGTGCTCCCAGATCCAGGAAACGCATCGCCCTCTAGCTTCTCCCGTACGGGACCCTAAATCCTGTCTTCCAACCACCGTCCAAGCAAGCATCCCGTTTAAGTGCTTCTCCCGCATAAGTGATTCTCCCGTACGGGACCCCAAATCCTGTCTCCTAACCTCCGTCTAAGCAGGCATCCCGCATAAGTGATTCTCCCGTACGGGACCCCAAACCCTGTTTTTCAACCACCGTCTAAGCAAGCATCCCGTCTAAGCAAGCATCCCGTCTAAGCAAGCATTCCGTACGGGACCCCAAATCCTGTCTTTCAACCACCGTCTAAGCAAGCATCCCGCATAAGCAAGCATCCCGCCTAAGCAAGCATCCCGTACGGGACCCCAAATCCTGTCTTTCAACCACCGTCTAAGCAAGCATCCCGTTTAAGTGCTTCTCCCACATAAGCCCTTCTCCCGTACGGGACCCCAAATCCTGTCTTCTAACCTCCGTCCAAGCAAGCATCCCGCATAAGTGCTTCTCCCGTATAAGTGCTTCTCCCGTATAAGTGCTTCTCCCGCCTAAGCAAAGCATCCCGTACGGGACCCCAAACCCTGTCTTCCAACCACCGTCCAAGCAAGCATCCCGTACGGGACCCCAAACCCTGTCTTCCAACCACCGTCCAAGCAAGCATCCCGTTTAAGTGCTTCTCCCGCATAAGTGATTCTCCCGTACGGGACCCCAAATCCTGTTTTTCAACCACCGTCCAAGCAATCATCCCGCCTAAGCAAGCATCCCGTACTGGGACCCCAAGTCCTGTGTCTCCTAACCTCCGTCTAAGCAGGCATCCCGCATAAGTGATTCTCCCGTACGGGACCCCAAATCCTGTCTCCCGACTCCCGTCTAAGCAGGCATCCCGTACGTGCTCCCAGATCCAGGAAACGCATCGCCCTCCTCTAGCTTCTACCGTATAAGTGCTTCTCCCGTACGGGGCCCCAAATGCTGTCTTTCAACCTCTGTCTAAGCATGCATCCCGTACGTGCTCCCAGACCAGGAAATGTATTACCCTCCTCTAGCTTCTCCCATACGGGACCCCAAATCCTGTCTTCCAACCTCCTTCTAAACAATCCTCCCGTGCATGCGCCCAGATCCACTCTCGTGCTTGATCCCCATATTCAATTCATCATGATTGACAAAAGAATTTCTTTTCGAGGGACCGTTAGAGTCCCTTGCCTCTGTACCACAGGATTGAGCTCTCCTCAGACTGAAGGGCTGGACGAAGATAGTACAACGTAGTCCAAACACAGTGCCACCACTAAAATTTTCAAACAAAATGGCGATAGAAACATCATTTGTGTCCTTGTATGCGATAAGCAATTACAGGCAGTGTTGAGCGAAGCGAATCTCAAGCCAGATTCACTCTTGAAACACTTAGGTAATGGACACTTTCTAGAACTTAGATATTTCGACTATCAGGATTTAGGTACTACTAAGGGAAAGAAGCTTGATGTGTAGTACGATGTCACAAGCACATATGTAGAGATACCTAGGTAGTCTATAAATAGATGATAAATCCATACCTAACTAGTCAGACCAACGACCGCTAAGTTTTGTCCTGGCGCTAAGGTCGGTAGATAAAGCCTGATCATGACCATACACTCGTTCATTGTCTGCTTGCCTGTCATCCTAAAATTCCCTTATTTCTTTCCCCTCCGCCGTAGGCTTCCGAGCTATTACAATAGAGAGAATGAACCAGGTAAATTTTTATTATGTTCTCACACGTGAATGAATCTAAAGCTATGCGTAGAAAAACGACTGCGATACCTGCGACGCACTCGCAATTTGCCTGCGAGACCTTTCAACTCAAGTTACGTACGAGAAACGTACAGCGATGGCAATAGAATCGAAACACACCCGGAGCCACATCAATTTTAATATCTATCGAGCCACTATGCATCGGGAGAGAAGGCAGTTGCTCCAAGCGCTCAGGAAATTGGAACGCCGCACTATTGAGATGAGCGAGATGATCAGTCTGCTGAGGCTGGAGAATCATCAGAAAGAGAAACAAATTGTGCATCTGTCGGCTGTCATCAAGGATAAAGAACAAATAGCCGATCATGTTCAATGTGCTTCGGTACTTATTCAGCTGCATAGCTGTGTGCTGTAAATAATGATTTGTCAATAATAGTCACACGTTAGCTGGTTGTTATATTATTGGCTCCATCCCGTTCGGTCTCCAGAGCTCTTTGCCGCATACCTAGCCCCCCTACGCGGCACGACCATCAACCGCTAAAAAAATATCCTTGCACCATAAGCGCCGAGGCCACCCGCAATACAGAACCGTTACCGGCTGAAGAGCTCTCCTCATTGCCTAGACAGTTAGGTGCTAGTTTAGTGACTTACCGGTATCATGGATATGTAGGCGATACCGCAATTAACGCCGCGGGATGTTTCGGAGACATAAGCGCTTATTTGTGGTGAATTGCCCCTAGCTAAGGGTAGAATTAACATAAATACAGTTAACACTGCCGAATATCCGGTTATATGTGGCAGCCATGAGTCCACGACGTTCCGAAAGGAACGATACACCCGGTGAGAACCTTTGAACTCTACCTACCCAGGTGGATAGCCTAATCATAGACACTAGCTGATGAGCGAAATTAGCATTTACTGTACAGACAACACCCGAGCAATTAGAGAGCGAATCAGTCATCAAATTTGCTAGCGAGCGGGATGACGATACGCCGAAGGCCGCGGTTCCCTCACAATCGCTGTTTGGGGTCGTGATCTCGCCAGGCTCCGAGCCACTCCCATCACCATGGCTTAACTCTTCCGCTCGGGTCAATGCACTACAAAGTGCCTCAAATGTCCCCAACGAAACCGATCAACAATCCCTCCCAAGCACCTTCGTGCTTCAGCCTGCACCCGCTAGTATGCATCGGTATCTCAATACCATGCAATCTGAGCTACACCGGCTTAGCGCACCGCCATCATCGTCCCATCGCCAAACGCTACGTAACCGCCGAGAGGTCTTATTCAAAGAAGCCCTAAAAGAAAGCATTGTTTCGAAAAAGGCTAGCATAGCTTTACGTGCTACTATAGCCGAAGAAGTCAAAGCAAGCGTCGAGGGTCTCCTCACGAGCCAAGAGAAAGACCCACAGCACACTATCAAGACTATGCGGTTGCGGAGCAAGGGCTACTGGTCCAAAATTCACCAGGATATCCATCGTGCCAATTTAGACCTCAAGACGCTTGGAGAACGTCAGCGCTTAGATCAACTATACTCCACGAGAGATATAGAACGGGTTTTGTTCTTTTGGGCTGTTTATCAAGAGGTTCTGTCATACGGAGACATTGCTTATGAGCTATCTCTGCCACTTGGTATACTGCCTTTGTGGATCATGCGTTACGTAGAACATGTCTAGCTAAACTTAGATTATTTTATACAGCCTTAATGTCTAAGTAGGTAATCTCTTGAGTTTCCTCTCTATACGTGCGTTGAATAGCTGCTCTAAGATGTTCGATGTTGTTAAAAGCCGCGGTGCGTAAGCGTGTATAGTCATCGCTTTTATATCACCTTCCATAACAGGAGACATGGTTAAAACCGGTCCATTCACTACCGTACCCTTCTTCTCCTCTGCCCTACCGCCACGAAAGTCGGCAAGTCGCAAGAGATTTATCCGCTCTCGACGAAAACAGACCCCACAATAGTAAGCGTTAGTCTAGACATACCCGTGGACACTAAGGAATAAGCGCGCTTGGAGCGAAGGTTCCACAATAGTGTGCTGAGAAATATTGCCGACATTAGTTCGCCAAGGCTACGCCACTGACCACCTACTGCGAGGTTCTTGTCCGCGCCGCGAAAACGATACTAACTCGTCACCGGAGACAGCCGACATACCCCCCTACACTACTACGCCTCTTACGAAATCATAACTATCTAAATTAATATTATGCAACATCGACCGCGCCGCAAAAGTCTCCTAACATCTCCGAGGAAGGTACTAACCCTTCCAGTGTGCATTTCGTCTCGTTACGAGGTAATCTCGTTCATGCATGCAGTCTACCGGCATTAGACGCCCCTCGAACCCTGCAGCAGCTCGCAGTTCGCCTCGCTTCGCTTACTCTACCCCACAGCCGATGCGGGTAGTTCTTTAGACGCCCGCCCAACCTGCGGGATAGTTCACAGTTCGCCTCGCTACTCTTGCCTAGCTGAGCACGTTAAGCTTGCGCCGTACACGCGTTGCATATTGAGTTCCTTGACTGCGCCGTACGCGCGTTGCAGATCGACGGCTTGAGCTCATGTTCCCTGCGCGTTGCAGATCGACAGCCTAACACGCATGGTGAGGTACATGCGTTGCAAACCAAGACGCTAACTGGAAGGTGGAAAGCATGTTAGCCTCTAAGATGCACAATTTCACCGCGGCATTAGTTTCTTGAGGTAATTCTAACCAATAATATTGATTTCTGTGGGAAAACAAATGCTACCGTCGCAATCTGCTCCCTAATGTTGCTTAGCGCGAGTTGACACGAATCCTCCGACCATCCACTTCCTCAAGCAGCGCCAGGACGGCCCAATATTTGTCAGATATCTCAACGCAAATGCGATGACCACGTTCCCTGTCTGTACTGTAAACCCGCCCATCTCCCCCTACCACAAAGTCGCGAATGACGAGGTCCTCTAGAAGGCAGCCGCGACGACAAAACGTCGGCTTACGCTTGAACAGCAGTGGCTCACATGCCGCGCATCCATCAACATGGCTTTCGAATATGTTCATACGCAAGTATTCTAGCCTCGTAGGCTTTCTTGACACTGATCTAACTACGGGCTTTGCCCATCGGATGTGTGGAGAGTAGGGAGGAGGCATCTCAAAGCGGGTGGAGAGCGGATGAGTACTCTAAACTGGTGCGCTTTTTATATGCATATATAGTCCTATGAAACTACAGAAGACAGAAATGCGAACTCAACCAAATACAAGATACAGAAACCCCTACACAGCTCCCAGTATCCTGGGTTACTCCATCTGATCCTGATTTTCGATCTTGGGCTGTTTTGGGACTTCCCCCTCTTCTGGGCAAGCTAACTCCGACGGGGCGCTCATACTATTCAAAAAGCTGATCACTTGTTGTAACCAACCGCTGAGAGCATCCACATCTGCACGTAGGCTCTGGGCTGCGTTTGCTGCTTGTGCGACCTCTCTGATCTATGTTAGCATCCACATAGCAAAACTCCCTAGATAACTAACTGGTCGAGCTTTTCGATTCTCATCTGATAATCACTCTGCAGCTGCCAGATAGAAATAAAGACCTTGTCAAGATCTTTGCGAATTCCATCAAAAGTAGCCTCTTGTGTAACACCGCTCGGATTATGGTAGATAGGAGTCTGTTCGTGGGGTAGCGCATCGTGGAGCTGATCTTGTGGTATCGTTTGTTCGAGATAGTAATTTGGCTGTGGGAGATAGTTTGTAGGGAGGAATAGAGGTTGTTCAGAGAAGATATCCAAGTTGACATCGAAACCATGATCGTCGGTCGTGAGATGAGGTAAGAACGGGCTTGTCGTTGGGTCAAAGTTGAAAATTTCATCCCAAGCCTGATCTTGAGCAATCGGTTCGGAGGATTGTGTGTTTGCCATGATATGATGCGTAATCTGGTGTTGAATTAGATTGAGTTTACTGTGAGCTAGGAACGATATGTGGTGCATGCACTCTTAGATATAGATTTTCACTAGAAGGCGGAGCAAGGATTTAAGCGCTGAAAGAGATTTAATTAGACAAGGATTAGCGAACTAGTGTTGCATATTTCCGAGCAGACACGAGGTACTGTGCCACCTCACGACTTAACCGCCGCGGCATGCCAGAGGGCGAAGCACTCAAGCGACACTAACTCTAGAAACGGCAATAGGATGCCATAATTCGGCTCGCTCTCAATGAATCGATGCTATGATCATAAGCATGATAGACAAAGTATTAGAAGCAGATACTTACAGGCTTCTCAAGTTTAGCACTTGCGGGTACATTCGTGTTAAACATATTATCGAGAAAGTCGACAAGCAATTTATAGCCACTCCACTTCCCTCCGTTGTCTAGACCAAATGTCTTATTAGATTCTCGCAGACGACGTATCTCTACCAGATCCCGTAGTTCTTTCTTTGGTGTACCGTTCATACATTGGAGCACTACTATCCCTAGACACTCTAGGTCACGGTTAGGCGTGCTCTCAGTTGTCACCTGTATGGACTCTTCAAAGTTGGCTAATAAAGTCAGATGAGATACTCTTGAGGGCAATAATAATTTAGCTTTCTCACATAGCAGTGGTCTTCCCGTAGAACAAAACCTTATCGTAGCTGTTGAGATAAGATTGTGTATGATTCCGAATTTAGCTATGTGCTTTATGGCAAGAAATATCTATCAAACTTAGCTAAATGTTGCGGAGCACATATATTTAGTCATGTTTACCGAGCTTGCGATTATACGAATATGCGGCTCTTCGAGGCGTGTGTGAACGTTAAGAACTTCTTCAAGTGTGTATCGAGAATACTCTAACTGGAGGAACAACGAGGACTCGGTTTCGAAAGCCTGTCTGATAGTTGAAACATGGGGATGGTCTGACAGTTTCTTCATCTTCTCGAGCTCGTCTCGACCGGCCTGAATGGTCATCTCCTTAACCAGAACCAACTGGCTCTTGTAAACGCAGATAGACCACACATACTTCCCTTGCACTAAGTTTCCTTGTCGTACTAACGTTTTCCATGGGCTGTCGTGAATTTCTCGGTGAGCTGTAGAGATTTGCTGACTCTTTTCGAGAGCTTTTTGCAGTAGTGCTGCTTTTGTTGGTACTTGGGGCCTTGGGTGCCGTTGAAACGCTTCTTCAATAGCCTTCGTTGCCATGCTTGTTGCTTCGTCCTTCAGCATCCATAGGCACTGTTATGCTACGGTGTGGCTCTGCCATACAAGAAAGCAGTTCCCCGTTAAACTGCAATATGTTCCGGAAAACGGGGACTGGGGACGGACTACCGAAAGTGGGTCTCTCGTCGTGGCTGTGTTCCCTAGTAACGGTTTTCGAGCAATACCTGCACTGGATTTTGGTAAAGTCTGCAACAGATGCACATAAAAGCACTTGCCTGGCACCATCAATTGTCTATCAAACCTTTCATTCTAACCCCCACTACTACCGGTTCCACCAACCGAGCATACACCATGGACGCGGTAGAAGTTACTTGGCCTACACTACTTGCGGCTCGCCAGCAAAATGATGCAGCCAACCAGCTTTCCAACAACGTGCACACACCTGCGCCACTTGAAGCACCAGTCAATTATGCCGCGCCACAGGATGCGGCAATCAATCACGCCACGCCACTAGAAGCACCGGTCAATTACAACATGCCATTTGGACAGCCAAATCTCTATCTACAGTTATCGCAAATTTTGGAATGGGAGATATGGAATCACAATCAAACGCGTGCTGCGCTCTGCACAGAGCTTGCTCGTCGCGCCGAGACCGAAACTGAGATACACATGAAAAGCCAAGAACTCGAAAGATGGAAAGAATCTTGTCACATAGTATATACTGCGCTGGATGAGCACAGAGCAGAAAATGCGAGCCTTAAGCTTGACATTGAGGCTCTAACAGCTGAGTTGCGTCATCGTCGGGAATTACAGGTGCGACGCTCATTATATTAATTTCTGTTAGCTCAGCTGACTTAACTACAGGCTCAGCCGAAGGTGGAATGCTCAACGCCGCACCTCAAACCAGACTATGACGGCGGAAGAGATCTTAAAAAGCTACATGAGCCTCAATTGTCAGAAGACGAACACACAAGCTCTTGGCGACTCGGTTTCATTCGAGACATTGATGATCACTTCAATGGGTCTGCAGCGAGTAGCTAGACTTGCTAGTATGCTTGCTGCCTCTCGTGTATCCAAGTAAACTTTGTAATTTTGTATATATAAGAATAAAAACGCATGCCATATGTATCATACTATAAATAAAAAAATGTAAATGAGTGCTTTGGCATATCCTTCCACACAGTACATCAAGGGGTCCAGTCCATGTCTCCTTCGTCATCGTCTCCAATGTTGCCCATCATCATAGGGTCCTGGTCTCGCAGCCCTCGTGACCAGCTGTAAAGAAGGTCCAGGCGCTTGCCAAATTGCTTTACACGCTTTCCTACATCATTCTTGTCCATTTGGCAACGGGCCATACTAAACACAACTTGCCATGCTCGGCGCAAATGGCGGACTTTTTCGCGAGAAATGCTGTGTCTTTGGAATTGTGTTTCAGCGGTGCACATCTTCTTTTGGAAACTGCGCATGCTCTTTGATGCCCTTATCTGTGGAACACTGTATAGCTCTATCCAGAGAGCTTGCACGGTACTCCACGTCTTCTCAACCTGGTCTATCCTCTTCTCAATAGCTTCTCGCCAGTCAATCATGCCAAGACGTTGCGCTTTAGGAGGAGAGCGACGAAGTGAGAGTCGACCGCCTCTCTCGGGTCCCGGAGAGTAACTTGCGCCTTCTGAATAGCTTCCTTCAGCACTCGTGTCTGCCGCGCGCGTTTGCTCTTGAACATCTTCTTCTTCATCCTCATCGTCCTCATCTTCCTCATCGTCCTCCTCTTCCGCTTCTCCCTCCTCTCCCTCCTCTTCCTCATCGTCCTCATCTTCCTCATCTTCATCCTGCTCAGTGTCACCGCCAAATGCATAGATCAACAAGTCAAATTCTCCATCTGCATCATGTTGGTTTATATCTTCATCCATGACATCGTCGATCAGGATCGGTGCTGAGCGGGTGCCGACTTGAGCGGGAGACACTGCAGGAACACTCATACGGCTACCCTGATGTGTCGTCTGTTTGATCCTGATCTCTGGAAGATTTTTTTTCTCTCTATTCTTGATAGAAATGCTAGATCTAGCGTCTTCAGTGTTGTTGGTAGCATTCTTTGTTGGCACGGAACTGCCCGTATAGTCATTCGTATGCGGTTGAGGGTGTTCCATATCTAGAACAGCTGACTGAATTGACTGAATCTTCTTTTCTTCCAAAGATACAGCACCTGCTTGTTCGCTTAGGGGTTCGCTCAGCAGATCTTCCTCATTTGGTAAGGCAGTGTCGCATAGATCTTTGCTCAGCTCTGAAACCGATGCTCTGCCTGTGAGAGAGTTGTCTGTTGCTACTGATAGTTGCCCGAGTGCACATTTGGGTGATTCAGAGGCATCTTGTCGTCCTACGGTGGTTTCAACATCGCTAGCTGTGACGTCCGCCAAAGCATGTCCACCTGGGGCTGAAGTAGCTGTAGGCTCAGAGGTAACCTGTATCGTTGCTGAATAAGGAATACCGTGACTGATTGACTCTCCAATCATTGCAGAAGATGGTGCAATAACAGCTTCAGGGGCAGCTTGAAATGTCGTGAAAATATTGGACATGGCTAGTGTTGGTGGAGCAGATGCGGCTGAGATACCCAATAATGTTTGAGCTGCCTCTATTTCGCTTGAAGGATTTGTGGCCTGAGTGTATGGTGGGATGTCAAGGACCGTAGATATCGTCGATAGGGCGATTACAGACTCGTTCGTCGAGTTCTCAACCTGCAAATTTCCATCGTGAGAATAAATCATCTACTTATTATTAGCACAGGCAAAATTCATCATAGGATACCCTAGGGTACTTTCTCACCGCTACGTAGTTGTCGATGTCGGCATTTACAGACGCGAGCCATGTCGGATCGCAGATATCGTCAGTATCGAAGCTTTGGAGTTCCTGGTCAATGAATCCGGTATAGTCCTCCATAGTGTAGAATTAGTTGAAGTAAGTGATGTTGGCAACTGAGCGAGACGGGTGTGCAGTATTTATACATATCATAAGTTCTTTTTATAGTCGTACATAGGCCGCAGCGTAAAATTTCATCTTACCTTATCTGGAGAAAGGCCGAGTACCAAGTGGACTCCCTGGCATGTATTGGCTCTGAGAAGGTCTTGTGAGGCAGAATTACTGCCACGTAAAAGACTTTTAGCCGCTATGGGGTTCGTGGGACTGCCAAGGAGGTGTGCTCTGGAGCTCAACGCTCCGATCCATCCATCACATGTCTCAGTCATCTCAAGGCATACATGTGTCTCCGCATGGATATCTTGCCGTTTTGGTAGCTGTCAGACTTTTCACTCTGCATAAGCTCAAGACTCTGCACGATGCCGCCGGCCTTCCTGGCCCACGTAGCACTCTCTGACGATTCACAAGGCAGACACAGCACTTCTTCGCATGAATATCTTGCCGCTGTGATAACTCCCTAGGCATTAGAGTTGTCACTCTGCATAAGCTCGAGGCTCTGCACGATGCCGCCGGCCTTCCTGGCCCAAGTAGCACTATCTTGTGATTCACAAGGCAGACACAGCACGTCTCTGCATGAATATCTTGCCGCTGTGGTAGCTGTCAGACTTTTCACTCTGCATAAGCTCAAGGCTCTGCACGATACCGCCGGCCTTCCTGGCCCAAGTAGCACTATCTTGAGATTCACAAGGCGGACAAAGCACTTCTTCGCATGAACATCTTGCCGCTGTGCTAACACGCTAGGCATTAGAGTTGTCACTCTGCATATGCTCAAGGCTCTGCTCAATCTCACTGGCATGATTGGACGATGTAGCATGAAGTAAAGGTACTCAGGTAGCATCCACGGAGCTATGAGACTGAAGTGGATCTCTGCATGATAGCTCTGCCGTAATGATGTTCCCATTATGTCGATCCGTCTTCCAACATGGATACTCTAGCCATAAATTTGTGCCTCAATTGCCTTATCACGACCTTGGGACATCATCAAGGCGGACTCACACCTTGGCATGATCTATGGTTGGCTCTGCTGCTGCAGTGTGACATCGTGATACCCATTTATGGGATGAATTTCAGGCAGTTCTAGGGGGCTAGTAATCTTGGGAACTCCGATGAGACTCTTCATACTATTGGATACTTAGGTATAGTGTCGAACATGGGGCAACCTCAGAGAGGGCGCTGCATGCTGAGCTATGACGGTCTAAAGATAGATGAATCCACTCAAGAAGCTAATATTCGATCTTGCTCATCTATATAAAGTCGTGGCACCCACTTACATTACCGAGTCACCAAACGTAACGAAAGCAAATTTGAATGATGAGCATCACCCCCTACGACAGGAATCCTAGTCCTCAGAGACCTATGTAAGTGACAATCTTCCAAGATTAGCTTGCGTTGACAATGACTAACGTACGACTAGCGAGTGTGTTCCCGTGGACATATTCTTTAAGCCCAAATGGGATGCTCAAGAACGATCAGCTATCTTTGTTCCCGGTTTCCCTGTAGTAGCAAAGACCGAAAACCTTCAAGAACAAAAAGAAGGCCTTCCGGCACTAAGCTTATGTGGCAAGCTCGAGCGTTCGCACACTTCTCATAAGACGACTAACCCTGTATCGGACCTTCGGAAAACACTGCTGTCAGCATCATCACCTGGCAGAGCACAATCGTTAATCCCAGCTGTTGAGGAATTGCTTTCTAAAGTTTCCGAACCACTTCCCCAAATTTCGCCAACTTCGTCGCCGGAGCATGTCACATATACAAACAACCAAAATGGCCAAGCGACAGAGACCGCCTTACGGCTAAGATTAGCACCATGTTCACTCGTATGGATGCAAGGCATTCATGATCCCAGTATCCGATCTATAACGACCGCATCCGTGGTTGCTGTAGCGCTTAGCCGGAAGCATATATTCTGTCGTGTTCAATTTCAGCAACAGACTATACCAGCCCATAAGATACTTGTCAGCCCTCAGGGGGTGTGTCAACTAGAATGTTCTACTATCGTCACAGCTACGTAACACACTGCTGATCTGGAATGCTCCAGATACTCTACTTCATGTATATAGTCGCTCTCTGCAACTCTCTCAATAGAACAACCTTCTCTCTCATCTCTCCTCCGATCCAACAGTTATGAGCCCGGTATCCCCGCAATAAGCTGCGATATTCAAACGAGATTGTTCACTCCATTCACACAGTTCACGCTGTTGTATACGCTGTTCTTGTGTCTTGTTGTAGCGTTGAAACAAGGTGTCTCACGCTCTCTTTTTGAGATCTATTCTCACGTCCTTTGAGATCACTTCTCGAAGCTTCTCTGCCGCTTAGCAAGGCAGCTCTTTTGGCCATCATGGCATCCTCGAGCGCTCGGGACGATCAAGTTGTCAGTCGCGCATCAGTTATCCTCGAGAACCAGAGCGATTGGAAGCTCTGGTACTCCTTGAAGAAGGAGTTCGCCACCGTCAAAGGTGTGTGGGAATACTGCGATCCTTCCACAAACAAGCTACCTCCAACTGTCGATGACGAGCCATCAGACACTGCTTCAGACAGTGCGTGGAGGAGGTGGGAGATCAAGACGAATGCTCAGAAGGCTACCCTCAAGGCTATAGGAGAGGTTAACCTTGAAATCACACGGACGGTAGCTCGATCAAAGCTGCATCTTATTACCAACCTAGATCTGGACGTACGATTACGTCTTAGAACACTTCAGGATCACTTTCGGATCACTAATCAACAGCAAATTCTAGAGCTTTCTTCGCAATATGCTGCTATTCAGCAGAAGCGGAGGAACCAGAACGTTGATACGTGGCTAAACGAATATTCTCGAATTGCGTCTCTCTGCCAATCAGAAGATATGGCTGAGATGAAAGGGACACGTCCACAGTGGGCCTTCATACAGGCTGTTGAAGCCCAAGGAGATGCTGACTGGTCTAACCAGCATTTCACTCTAATGATTGGCTGTGAGGAGGACAAAAAGGACCCTCCAACACTTGAAGCTTTGATTAACCGATACCGACGATGGATCGCGACGAAGCGTACCCACACGAAGACTCTTGGCAGCTTTGCAGCCAAGGACAGCACCCAGGCCACCCAGGCTACTCTAGCTATCACCGACACAAGGCCAAACAACCGTCCGCAATGCGTCTGTGGCCTCTATCACAATATCTTAGAGTGCTACACTCTAAACGAAACGGCAGAAGGCCGTCCAGAAGGTTTTAGACCAAATCGAACAAGACTCAGCACAGTTCGTACTGCTTTTAAGGATCGCGAGCTCTTGAAGAAGATCAAGAAGCTCTACAAGGATAACAACGTCCGATGGACGTTCGATACAGCACAAAACTCCGATCGATCTGAGAAGAAGACCGAGAATAAGACCGAGAATAAGACCGATAGACCCACTTCAGCATCCAGAGGCCGACGACCTTACGCTGATCGAATCGACGACAATGACTCGAACGGAGACTATTACGCAAACAATGCGTTTCACTTGGCTCAGATTACAACACCAAAAGGTGATACTCTGCTCGACAGATGGATCGTTGATCCTGGTTCCAACGTCCATATCTGCAACTCGACCTATTTCAACTGGCGTACGACGTCAAATGCCAAATCAACCGACGTTATCTTCGCAGGCGCAACTAGCTATCAGGTTGCTGCCTGGGGGGAGGTGATCATCAATGTTAATCGAGGCAATCAGAAGAAGGATATACTCCTGACGCATGTCGCGTACGTACCAGGTTTTCTCACGAACCTCTTCGCCCTTGGACGCTGCCGACGCTCAGGCATCCACTTCGATTCAGGGCGCAACATCCTCTACAAAGAGAGGATCTCCAATGTTGTAGCCAACCTTGAATACAGTCATGGCCACTGGCTGCTCGATGCGAAGGAGGCTGATCGCCCTCCTCGCCATGAGCTTCTCAGCATGGCTGCAAGATCGAGCCAGGAGAAGGCTCCTCAAACTGTCACTGCGATGCGAGCGCATCAACTGCTCGGACACCCAAGCTATCAGGCACTTGAACACCTTCAAGATGCAACTACTGGCCTCAAGATAGGCACAAACGGAAAAGGAGATCCATGGACAGACGATTGTGTATCGTGTATTCAAGGCAAGATGAAGGAAGACATCAGTCGCCGTCCTCGCGCTGATAAAGCCTGTCGACCTTTCTATCGCATTTCAATCGACATTATCCAACTTCAGGAACATGGCGCAGTATGTTACAACGGTGACGTATGGGCATTGCATGCAGTGTGTGAGTACACGAAATTTCATGAGATCTGTACTCTCAGGAGTCGACACAAAGCTACTGTTGTTCCTGCTATTATTCGACTCATCAACAAGATTGAAAGAGTATACGGCTACCAGGTAGCTATAGTCTTCATGGATGGAGACGTTGGGTATGGCAGAGCTGAGGCACACCTCGGTTCCTCTGCTCAAGAAGAGCTATCATCAGCAGGTATTAAGGTAGAAATGAGATCACCTGATACTCCAGCACAGCTGGGGGGTGCGGAGAGAGCTGGAGCCGTGATTGTTACAGTCGCCAGAGTCATCCGTATCCATGCTGGTCTACCTAAGGCACTAGCTAATGAGCTAGTCTGTACTGCGGTAAGACTCCTCAACGTCACTCCGACAAAGGCTCTTGAATGGCGTACGCCACAAGAGATGGTCACTGGCATTCGACCAGATCTATCACGACTCCATATCATTGGAAGCCGTGGATTCATACTTGACAAGCATCTCCTAAGAGGGGATAAACTGGAGAAGCGCACCTTTGAAGGATTCCTTATTGGATACGACGCTTCGAACATCTATCGAGTCTGGATACCTACCACGAATCGAGTTATCCGTGTACGAGATGTACGCTTCATTGATGAGCTTTACAAGGAGAAGCCATCAACAACACCCGTGGAGCCTCGCATTATCGAGACGGTCCACATTCCTGAGGAGGAATACGATGGAGATACCATTGTCGTGGCGCAGCCTGTACGACAACGACAGGAAGCAATCACTACGCCTGTCCTACCACTAGATCATGTATCTGAAAAGGAGTATGATAGTGACACTATTGCAGTGTATCAGAAGCCTGTTCGCCAACTCCTCTCTCCATCTCCTACACCCGCTTTCGAAGGACAAGATCGAAGTCCTTCTCCTGATCCAGTTGAACAACAACTACTGCAGGAGTCCTCTGCTTTGATGGACTCATCTCCACACAGGACACCTGGGGGGTGGAACAACTACGACGACGACGCTGAGATCTACATACCAGATCGACATCAGAACAATGCTCCGCAACGACGAGACCCGAATCTCTCACAGGACAACATCATCACTGGCAGACGACGTCGCCAAGCGCACTACATCGAGGCAGCCCCTGACCTTTCTAAGTACTTTGCTTTTTCTGCTACGATTGCGCAAGCAAATGATGCTATCTCAGCTGCATCACAACCAACGCGATCTGATCCTACTCGCATTCATCGCGATGATCTTCCGCCTCCACCACGTCACTGGAAAGAACTGAAACGTCACGCTCATGGAAAGCAATTTGAAGCTGCTGCTTACGCAGAATTCAACAGCTGCTGGAAGAAAGGCACCTTTGCCAAACCAGACATCACAGCAGACACAACAGATGCTGTACCCTTGATGTGGGTATTCACCTACAAATTTGATGAAGATGGATATCTTCTCAAATACAAGGCTCGAATTGTCGTCCGAGGAGATCTGCAGGATCAGTACGGCGATACGTACGCAGCTACTCTTGCTGCTCGCCTCTTCCGAGCTCTTATGGCTCTTGCATGTGCTTTCAACCTTAACGCAATGCAATACGATGTGCCAAACGCGTTCCTTAACGCTACACTTAATCGTCCTCTACATGTACGAACTCCGGATGGATTCCAGGATAGATACGGCCAGATTCTTCGACTTCTGCGCGCCCTGTATGGCCTGAAGGAAGCTCCACGCTTGTGGGCTATACACCTCCAAGCTTCACTGCAAAAGCTTGGGCTACACCCTGTTCAAGGGTTCCCATGCCTTTGGATGAACGATCGGATAATCCTGTTCTTCTACGTGGACGATATCATCATCCTCTATCACCCCGACTACCAAGAAGATTTCGAGAAGCTCGAACGACAGCTTATTAAGCTATATAGCCTGCGCCAAATGGGCAACGTTAAATGGTTCCTCGGTATTCGAGTTGAGCGAGTTCTTGCTAGCCGCCAGCTCTACCTAGTCCAGGATGCGTTCATCAACAAGGTCTGCACTGAGTTTGACCTTATCCGCTCTGATGGAAGATACCCTTCCACGCCTCTCTCCTCTACGTCGAGGCTATTACCCTACGATGGAGTGTCTGATCCTTTGCTTACGAAAACCTATCAACGCCTTGTTGGCAACCTAGCGTACATTGAGATCATGACGCGTCCTGACGTCGCTCACGCTCACTCAATCCTTTCACGGTTCCTGATCAATCCAGGACCAGTTCACCTCTCGGAGATCAAGCACGTGTGGCAATACCTGTACGGTACTAGGTATCTGGCCATCAGTGCTCGAGGGGGTGAGCCTACCCAGACGTTTGCAACAAAGATCAACTCAACACTGCCTACGTTCTTCGGTGCTGCTGATGCCTCATTCGGAGACGATGTAGAGACTCGTCGATCATCTGCTGGATACGTTTTTATGCTGTACGGCATGCCTGTTGACTGGAAGGCTACCGTACTTCGATCAGTAACCCGCTCTACTACTGAAGCAGAGCTCTACGCTCTCTCTGCTGCTGGCGTTGAATCGCAATACTGGGATCGCTTCTGCCGCAACATTGGCTTCACGCTTCACACCAAGAAGGCTCTCTGGTGTGACAACGCTCAGACTGTACGCCTCGTACAAGGCGATTCTGATCGAATTCAAACCAAGCTTCGTCACGTCGACATTCATCAAATGTGGCTCCGCCAAGAGGTGGAAGCTGAAAGGATCACTGTTGAGTGGAAACCTACTGCTGAGATGCCTGCTGACGGCTTCACTAAGCTACTTCCTCGTCAGAAACACGAGAACTTTGTCAGACAGCTGGGCATGAAGGACATCCGTCATCTCATCGTCAAGGACGTGCCATGTCCTGTGCCTCATCCATAGTTTAGTCTGCATCTCTTTCAATTTGTTTTTGAGGTATCCATCTAATATGGAAACCTCAGGGGGTGTGTCAGCCCTCAGGGGGTGTGTCAACTAGAATGTTCTACTATCGTCACAGCTACGTAACACACTGCTGATCTGGAATGCTCCAGATACTCTACTTCATGTATATAGTCGCTCTCTGCAACTCTCTCAATAGAACAACCTTCTCTCTCATCTCTCCTCCGATCCAACACTTAGTAAGATGGCGCTTACTATACTCTCTATACCCGCTTCAAGCTGTGAGTGTGAGCGCGTCTTCAGTGAGCTCGGAGATCTACTAGAGCCTCGCCGACGCTGTATATCACCTGAGCTACTAGCAGCACTACACTCAGTACGACGATGGAGACGGGCAGGTTTTGGTGGCGGCGACAACGACGATATGGGCCAATCAAAGCTTACCGACGAGCAGATGGACGTTTTGTACGAGCTTAGCCAGTGGGTGGGCGAAGACGACGATCTAGATACATGGGACGACGGCTGAGACTCAACACCAAAAAATATATACAACTTTCCTATTTGGGAATCAAGCACCCAAGCTACCAATCAAGCTGACAACTTTCCGCCAAGCCAATTCAATCAATCCAGCCAAATCTCATACAAACAGCCAATCAATCAAGCCGGGGGCTGTCAGCTTGCTTGATTGATTGATCTCAGGTGTGGCAAAAGGATGGGGCTGCTTCTAGCACCTTTTTCTAGAAGGAGTTAGTAGAGAAGTTTAAAGAGC